ATTCGTAGAGCAAACTTTCCAAGCAGTATCACTCACCCAGTTTTACTCCCAAAACATGGGCATGTTACTTTTATTAGTCACCTTTCACCATCATAAGATATGTGGTCATTCTGGGCGTGGAATGACCCTCAGTGCGATTCATGCCTCTGGTTATGTGATCATCGCACCAAAAGCTGCTGTTGCTGCACACATTTGGAAATGTGTAGCATGGCGTAAACCTTAGTACACTTATTCAGAGGAAGTACACTTATTCAGAGTATGTCAGATTTAGTGAAGGACAAACTGAAACCAGCTCCTCCTTTCACCTACAGTGCAGTGGACTGCTTCGGTTCATTTTATATTAAAGAAGGATGATGGGAGCTGAAACGATATGGAGCAGTATTTACTTGAAGTTTACTTCTGGTGAAAAAGCATGGTGATTGACAATAATGGGATGTTGATTAACAAAGTAATCACAGGGATAGTTTTGCATATTGGATAACGATGTTGGGGCCTTATTCCATACACAGAATTTCATGAGACAGTGCTGCTGGGTGATTACATTGATTTTTTTGGTGCGATTATGCTTAAATACGTCTGGATTCCACCTGTCATTAATCAATGTGATTTGTGAGTCATTCCATAAATATGTTATCTTGAATTTCATAGATAGCTAAACTCCAGTCGGGGTAGTGTCAAAGTTTTTTGTTTAATCACGTTGGAACGTCTTCTGATGATGACAAACAAAGTACGAGTGTTTTGCCGAGTGTAAATCACTGCACTGTAAGCTTTTCATAATGTTTTGGAGAAGGATTTAAATTTCGTTTTCAGGTGGAAATATCAGGGAAATATTTACGCAAAATGCGAATATTTGTGGATTCTTGTAGAGCGAGGCCGATTTTGGACCAACGGCACTGAAGCTCTTTGGATAGTTTCACAAGCGTTGTATAAACAGTTTGGCTCGAATGTGAATGTACGATAAAGTAACATCATACTAGGCCACAGCATAGCTAATGATATCGCATTTAGGTAACATGGGTCCACTATCTGGTCCATTAGTCGTTTTGACCTCCAGAATGTCACTTTCCCAATTCCAAATAAAACCGATTTTAATTGGTATGTAATAAAGCTGCTATTTATAATCGTCAGTCGGATAGCCATTAGTATATTGTTTATCATCTTTGGTGAGTCCAATCTGTAAGGACATCTTTTCAATATCACTGATGAGTGCGACTGGGTTTGCGGGAAACCATAGAAGTATGGCGTTGAGATCATTAAAGATCAGAGGACCTGTTTTGAGACAGCTATTTAACAAAGGGTATTCGTTTCACAGTCATATACAATGTGTATCAGAGAGAAGGCAAATTCAATGCGTTTAACTGACTGGTGTGGTAGATAAGGTTCTTTGTTTATATTTTCCATTTGCACCGGTTCATTGTAATTGTTATCCAGCTTGTCTTAAATGACCTTGTCATATGTGGCCAACACGCTTGTGGCCAACTTGGCAACTATTCAATCATTCGTCGAGTGTGTATCTTGGACAACTCGCAGTTTGTTGGAAGTGGCTCATGATTATTTTTCTCTGTAATTGAGTGTTCACACAATTTTCAGAATAATGCTGAAATTTGCTGTAGGCTTCATCGTGGTTTATCTCATCTCGTATTCTTGTTACCAGTAGGAGTTGATTGAATTGTCAAGTCTTTCTGCAGTTGATTACGTGGTGATATGGAATGTCCAAACTATGTTATTGGATTGTAGACTGCCGTGTAAAGGCCCAGAAAATAGAAATAATAATAAATAATTCCTTTACCAGTAAAATCCCAGTAACGATCTGCATCAATTAATGTGTTAACATTCATGGATGTGGCGTTTGATACTGACTGTGAGATCTATAATTTTGCTAAATGTGTAGGTTAGCAAGGTGTTTTCAATGTATAACACAGGGGCACAGTATATCTGTAGCATGTATGCTACATATAGTTTGTTGATATCTCTAAAGGTAGAATTGGGTTTGTCAAACTCTTTAATGTTTAATTTGGTGGCACATTCCAACGTTATGTAGGTAGGATTTTCATCGAATAAAACTGTGGCTTGTAATTATCTTCTTCTGTAGGAATACTGTTTTTAACAATACGCGTTTAACTGGGGGTTGATATATATTGGATCCTCTGAATACGGGATTTTAGGCTCCTGACGTAAAAAAAGCTGCTCAATATGTGAGCTTTTACACGTTCAATAATTGTCCATCTTCACGAACTGCGGACTTGAGAGTATCGTGAAACTCTTGCCGTCGTAGTGTATTTCCTTGGAATGGGGTAATTCCCAACTTCAGAAGCTGCACCGATCGGTATCTAATTGGAAAGGTGACAAGTGATTCTTGAAATTGAATCCGCGGCTTTCGATGGGCTTTCAGCACTTTTTATATGAACTACAGGACGGTCTTGCAACGGTCACAGATGTGCTGTTCGTAATCCAGTGTTTTGATGACGAGATTGTGTTCGACATCAAGGATATTATTTAACATTCGGTTTGCTGTGAAGAGTAGCTCGAGTTGCGTTTTGAGGTAGCTTTTCTTGACGGTGATTGCTCTTTAGGCTGCATCATTGTCGTCCTTGAAATCGTAACTATTGTGTATAGTTTTGAAGGGATGTAAACAAGCTTCTTCATCTTTCTTTTGTTCATGGGCTCGGTGATCGACGGTTTGGGCGCCATAACTTCACAATTTCAATGCTAGTCTCTTGCACCATAAATGAGGACTTGTGAATAGATTTTCACACTTATCTCAACTCTAATGAACGTAAATCTAGATCGGGTAAGTCAAGCTACTTTCAATCAAAGCAACAGGAAACGATATCATATAACTCATCACTCGAAAAGGTTACGTATGCTTAGACAAGTATCCAGGCATTTTATAGCAGAATAGTAGGACCAGCCACCGTAACACATTTTAGCGGGCTTTGTGTTGATTGGTATACAGTGCTACGAGCTAGTATTGGTTAATAAAAAAATAGCCTTGAAATGGCGTCTGCTATCGTAAAAACAAATAATATAAGATATATAATATATGAAACGATATAAGAAATTCGAAAACGCACTGAATAACAACTGAATGAAATAGAATCAATAATTCAAAGTCAACGAATATCACAGTGATAATTAGGGAAATAATAAGGGGTTATTCTTCATTGACAAATGATGTCTAATTAAAATTATTTGTGTCTGTCACATAGGATGAAATCTAGTTCCTATGTGCTGAACATTGGCTTTGATTTAGATCATTTTTTTAGAATGCCACGCACCACTTTTCCACGTCGTTTAATAGTCATAGGACCATTATGCAAATGGTATGTCATAAGTAATATATAGTGAAAAAGGTAAATGTCAACTTCATACGTTACGATTCTCTTGAACATTGTGTCCTTTCCGAATTTACGAGATTAAAATGTACTTAGAAATTTCATTTTAAACGATGATTATTGATTAGAAGCTATAGTGTACTTTTTATTGATTTGACTATGTTGTGTACTTCACATTTGTTTTCTCGATTATTGTTGTCATTTGTGTTGTATAGTGTTGGGTAAAATATTAAAATATTACAGAATATACCCGTCTCTCAATCATAATCAATTTACGCAATGTTTTATATTTATTTGAGTAGTGAAACATGGTATTTGGAAAAATGTAATATGTTTGCTTTCTCTGCTCGAGGTTATTAGTTTTAATAAACTCGGCTTCCTTAACAGCAAATCGTAGAAACATAAATTTATTGTCACACGTTAGACATTATTAGACCTTGAAGCAGATTGTTTTCTTTTCAGATAGATTCAAAATGGACGACTGGTGGCAATTTTGTTTTTAATAATTTCTGACCTGCCATGACCGATGAAGTCACACAATCTGTCATACATAGGTACATAGATTTGCTTGATGATCAAATTCCGGATGGTAGTTTGATGGTCATTTCAATGTTAAAATTTATCAGAATCGAGCATTTTTGCTTTCTTGAATCAGATCTCGGCCATTTTGTGGACGGATTTCGTTCATACTTCCTTACATACATTAGAATATTGCAGCATGTCTGTCGTCATTTCGTTTTTCAGATCGAATGAAGAACTGGTGCTTATTTTGCTTTAATGATTAGATTCAATATGGCCGAATTGCAGTAATTTTAATGTTATAAAGTTATCAAAATCAAGCAAATCTGTCATTCCGGAACCGGATCATACATGTATAGCTATTGTTTGTACTTTGGTGCAAACATTGAACATTCACATCAAGTTCAAAATGTTCAAATGACATAAATGTTGTACCTAACGTGTCTTTACTGAGTGAATGCCATTAAACTATTCACCTATATTATACATTGGTAATGAAGACAAAAAATTACATTTCTACATGATAACAATGAATTGCTATTATTGCTATCATCTGATGCGACAATGTATATGTATTTCCGTCGAATATATATACACAATTTGGATGCAAATGTTTTGCCAAAACAGTCAAACGCGTTAATGATAAAATATGATGAAGAAACATATTTCCATGTGGTTGGAAATAAATTTACCACTTTTTACTTGATACTTTCAACATCCTTCAATAATTACCTTGAGCAGGGGCGAAACATTATGACATTAGACATTTTAAAAGTATTATGGCAATTAGCGTTTATGGTTGCTAGCTTTTAGTCGGGCTCGAACAATACTTACTATGAAAATCAGCCAAAGAAGAGCAGCTCAAGATTTATTAATGAACGAAACTCAAATCACCCGAGATTTGTATTGAAATTCCATCAACAATTTGTGTGGTATTACTGACATGCACATAGCTCCATTTGTGCTAACACTAAAGCGTTCAATTGGTAATTAAACAGCAAGTCAACAGAACAACAAACTGTCATATATAGCATAATCATTCATTCCAATAATCTTGTGATATGTCTTTACGTTGTGTTTGTAATATAAAATGTGTTATGCCAAAGAAATTAAGATATACGTTGTATTGGTGTCTCACTTTACTAACTAACTAACTAAGTGGGGACAAATATAGGAAAACATCAAATGTAATTCTTGGAATAATACTTGACTAGCCATATGAACTGTATTTGTGTAAGGGGCAGAAAGTGCCATATCCCATACATCAAGAAAGATCACACCACTTCCCCAGAATACACGACGAACCATTCTGTTCATGTTATAAAAAATCCAATTACTGCTATGGATAGATTGCTCCAAGTAAACGTTGTCCCGGGCATGTGCTAGTTTAATCACTACTTTGGATTTGGGACATCTTTCTATCAATCTATCAATTGCTAACTTGGCGCGGTAGATTCGTTGTAAATAAGACCGAGTAGACCACACTCCATAGTGAAAACTGAAATTGAGTACAACTACGGGAGTCTTAGCACGGCATTTTTCAATTGTGATAGTGTCCATCAAGTCACTTTCAAGTATCAAATCCCAGAAATAACTAGGAGGACCTCCAAAACGTGGCACAACCATAATATTAACAAACTTCTTATGAAAATGTCGGTTCATTATATTGCCAAATTGCCAAATTGTAGAATCTCCGCTCACTACAAACTCTGTATCCGACAAACATTTGTCAGCTTCTTCGACTGACCACTGCTTGCTACGACACACCAGAGGAACAAATGTATTGTTATCATCCCAGTAACCATCTGATAAAGGAACGGGTAGAT